AATCTTGAAGGTTCTGTGGGCCTCTTCTGTGAACTCTGATCTTTAGCTTTTTCCATATATTTTCTATTGGATTCAAGTCAGGTGATTGGCTGGGCCATTCAAGCAGTGGTTTTTCATAAGCACAATTTTGAAAAAATAAACTTGAATGAATTTTAGTGAACACAAACACAATACCCAATTTTTTTGGTAAAATTCTAAAGATGATGTTATGCTGAGCAAATAGATACCAAAACGTCACACTTTATAATTGCACATACCCGTGGGAAAAAAAAAAAAAAAAAGACAACAGTACATGAAATTATCCATAGGCAACAGTTTAAGTCTTTACAGGTTATCAGTTTTAGAGCTGCACAAGAAGCCTGGCAATAGAATTATTGCTCTAGCTCTGACATTTATGGTGATACCTCACGTGTGGTGCAATTTCCATTTACTTATGCGTGTGTACTTCACTAGCATGGTGGGATGGATTCTGTAAAGGGACTACAGACCGTGACCGAGTTTCATGTTACACCCTTGCTTCCAGACCACGATCCCGCTCATTACCCATTACCTTAGCTTGCTTCCTGACCACACCTCTGCCTTCCATTCTGCCTAATACCTGCCCTCTTAGTTTTCAGCCTCTGTCCACATCAGACCCTGTCTCCAGGCTTTTGTGAGTTCTGGTGTTTCTTTGTCAGCTCTTGTTACATTCTGCCCCTCTATTATATCTTTACCTGGTTCTCCAATGATCTCCTCAGCAGTCATCTACCAGAAGTGATCAACTGTGGACCAGACTCTTGGGACACATACCCCATTGTACCTTTTCACTTCCTCTCACCATTCATGACGTGTTTGGCCCGACCTGTAAGGAATACCCTTTCATCACTCTTAAAAGATAAGTTTACCTTTTGAGTTTTACCTTTTGCAGGGAAAAAAAAAAATGTGCATTTATTATTATTTTTGGTTGCAGGAGCCTGTAAAGCATTGTACCAGCAGATAGCTGGTGCCATGCAGGTCTCCTGCAGACTTGTCAGTATATTGACTTGCCTGTACGGGATGTAAGCGCATGCAAATATAATGACAGGAAGAATCAATGAACTACCACAGCACTCACAATCATTTAATAAACATACACCTTGTGTTTCAATTGGAATAATACATTTTGGCTGCCGCTGTTCTCTCTAGCTCTGATATCTTGTAATGTTTCCACCATTTTTCAGGAAAGCTGAGATGCCTTCTGTGTAGATGGCCTTGTACCTACATGTGATGGAAATTCCCAAGTACTAGAAGCATTTAGCTTCCTTTTGGAAATGGAAAGAAGTGAAGACACCATTTCTTTTGGTTGATATTGAGGGCTTTCTTTTTTGTAGTGATTAATGTGTAACAGTGTACTGTTCAGTAGGCAGATCAAACTGGGCAATGGTCTTATTGGATTTGTAGAGAAGAGAATGGCCAGCTTGGACATTTTATAGTTGCATCCCAAGACTACTAGAGCCCTTAACATTTAGATTTTGACAAATTGCTATTTTCAAAGGTTAAACAGCAAGTGCAAAAAGGAGAGGTAACATTAGGCAAACTTGGCACATTCTGCTTGTGATGGAAAACCTTTAAAGACTGGAAAACTGCATTGATGGTTAGAGGCTTTGGAAGTAGAGTGCCAACATTCTCAGGACCAGAACCACATTTTTCTAGGATAAATAATTGTAAGGCCACCTAAGGCTATGGAAGCCTTTTGTCCAGGGATAGCAAAAGGTTTGATATCTTCTAGCGAAATGGATGAGATGGAGTCGTGGACGTATATTGGCCACAGATAGTTTGTTGGGCATTACAAACCTACCAAGTCTTTTCTAATGATTACACGTGTATCTTTAAGAGGATCTGTTATGTGAAAAGAATCGGAGCTGCGATTGCAGGCCTCTCTTTGAAACTGCTAAATGCATGTGTTTGACTTTAGTTAGTAGGTTTCAGTCACAGTACAGGCAAGCTGTAAATGAGTGATAATTGTAAGAAGAACTTATCTCTATAACTGTTCAGGGACAGTAACTTAGACAACACCAAGGTTAAACATCAGCATGACAGCCAGGGAACTAGCATTCTCAAGAGTTTAGTAATGGTAACCTCCATTAATATCTCATGACAGTGTTCCTTTTAGTCTGGGGGCTAAAATGTTGGCAGCGTTTGAAATCCAGATTGAACAAAAGATATTGGAAGAAAGTTAGAGGAATTAGCCATGTTCGTAAGGGGTGGCAGTAGCATATATACTGATGCAAATATTTTCTACATTTCATGTCTTCCAACTTCCCAAATTACTTCTCTAGTGCTGCAGAACTTGATTACGTTATTAATTTTATATCATATAGTTGAGCTTTAAAGATACCATGTCACCAATTTACAACATTGCAGGTAAAAGCAAAGAAAATAGAAGAAAAGCAAAAGAAAAAAAAAACAAAATCAAAGATTTTAAAATGCTTGCTTGAAGCGATTTCCTATCCATATTTTTTTGTTTTGTTTAATCACATGGAATGTGCACTTAAACTTGATAGCAAATTTGACTTCTTCAGTAAGAATCAATTCAGTATCATAATGTCCACACTCCTGGCACATTATAGTCTTCTCCTTTTCTGGGAGTGTTTCAATACTGTGTGGTAACCCAGTATCTCTGGCCCTCCCATCACCTCTCTACATAATCTTTTACTGTATATAGCAGCTGAGGAGCATAGGGGAATACTATAGAGTGTCACTTGAGGGTTAGCTTTCAAGATAGTGGCACCCAGCAGCATTCTCAGGGTGTTTGGATGTCTACCCATGGGAGGCTTTTACAGAAAAAGAACATGCATAAAATATGTTAAATGTACATATAACAACTTATGGGAAGAACTATAATGGTGTTGGGTAAATTGTAGTTTATAGACACAGTTTTTGAGACATAAACATTTTACACAGGATGTACCCATGACACAGAACTCACAGGACATTTTCTAGAGAGAAGCTTTTTGCTTTTAAACAATTGTCCCCATGAAATTGTGTGAGCTTCATCTAATGAGATTTTTTAAAACAATAGCATTTTTCATCTGGAAGTAAGAGGAAATCAGAAAACACATGAAAAGTAGTTGAGCTCTCCACCTCTTCGTTAGACATAACAATACGAAATATTCATGCATTATGTCATATTTACCTAACTAGGAGGAAGAAAAAATGAGTCAAGTACAAAATTACTTCTTTAACTTTTTACTAAAGTACTCCTCAACTGCCTACTTTTTCTTGTTCAGTGATTCAGAGCATATTAAAGTCACTGGATCAGAAGGGCATCTGTAAAGTAGAGGACACCAATGGCAGTCTAGATATTTCTGTTGTTGTAGGTCTTTTTTTAAAGGATACGTTCACCCATACTCGGGGTGCAACATGTTACATTTGACCCCCCGATCCCCCATTGTGATAGCTAGTGGGGATCTTCTCTCCCACACTCGCTGTCGAGATCTGCCCAGCCGCATCATCCATTCATGGTGTTCTATGAATGAGAAGTTCCCTATACTAGCTGTCAGTATTTGAAGACAGCCCGGCTGTGCGGGGCTTCGCCCGCACAGAAGCGTCATTCATTCACAGAGTTCTGTGAATGAATGAACTACAAGTCCCAAAAGCCTTTGCAGCTTGTAGTTCTCAATGAACTACCTTGGTGCTGTTGAGTACTTATCCCTTAAGAGATCATTAGTAAAAAGCAGCACACTTAACCCATAACACATATTGTTAGGCACGCATTTAACCCCCTGAATGCCCTAGATCAGGAGCTCCAAGCTGTGGCCCGAGGGCTGGATGTAGCCCTTTGCTAGTCTTTATCCGGCACTTGGGGCACTATTCCTCCCACTGACACCACTCCCACTGATATGAAGTAGTATTCCTCCCACTGACACCAATCATGGGGCACTATTGATAATACTTATGTGGTACTATTCCTCCCATTAATACCAATGATGGGGTCTCCTCTTCATCCTACTGACCACCATCCCTGAGGCCATATTTATTCTCAATGATGCTGGTCCCAAAACATTTTCTACCCCCACTGGCCACACTTTGGCCCTCTTAAAGTCTGAAGGACCTTTGTTTGAAACGTTTGGAGACCCCTGCCCTAGATGTTAAACCCTTCTCAGTCAGTGCCATTAGTACAGTGGCAGTGTATAATATCACTGTATTATTGTCACTAGTGATGCCAGTGGCAGTTAGTCAGTTCCCCCCAGTGCCAGTTAGTGTCAGATTGCCTGCAGCACTATCGCAGTCCCATTATATGCCACTGATCACCACAATTAGTATTATAAAAAAAATTCCAGAAAACCAATCAATATACACTTATTGGGATTTTTTTTTTTTTATCAAAGACATGTCGCAGAATACATTTTGGCCAAAATTTATGAAGAAATTAGAATTTTTTTTATTAAATATGTTTTTATAGCAGAAATTAAAAAAATATTTTTTTCTTAAAAATTTTCAGTCTTTTTTTGTTTATATTGCAAAAAATAAAAACCCAGTGGTGATCAAAAACCAGCAAAAGAAAGCTGTGTGTGTGAATAAAATTATATAAATTTAATTTGGGTACAGCGCTGCACAATTACCAGTTAAGTAGCGCAGCGTAGTAAAGCAAAAGATGGCCTAGTCATGAAGGCGGTAAAACCTTCCAGAACTCATGAGGTTAAATAAACCTCAGTGTAACCGAAATGTTCCAGTTCTGCATTTTATAAAAGCAAAGGTTTCAAAAGTAGAGAGAGACCTTAGAGAGTCCTTCAAAAAAAGTAATCTGCGTTTTCTAAAAAGATGCTTAAATCCATAATCAAAGCAATATAATAACGCAAAAAAAAAATTCTTCACCAAGTGAATGTACAACAAACACAGCACCCTTTATTAAGGAAGCCTACAAAAAGGGACTTCACTTATAAAATGTGGCCTCTTTAATAAATTACTTCAGTAAATAAAAAATATATAGAAGATGAACAGTAACCATGTTGTGAAGCATTAAAATGTTCTTCGCTTTTTTATTCATCTTCATTGGAGCCAGTCTTAGCAAGCTGAAAATAGAAAAATACCTCTAGTTAGGAAAGGCTGAACACTTATCACCACTGTTGACCACTGTAAGTATAACTAAAAAACGGAAATACTTTTTTTAGGTTTTGAAAAAGTGGAGTGGGATTAGATCTGTTGGGTTCATACAGCTGTCAGTGTCTCTGGGTGTTATTGAGATTCACCTCATCTATTTATGTTTAGCGCTATCATTGAGAGTGAAAGTGAAAGATTATCACAAATTTTGAGTTGTCACCAGAGTAGAAATAGAGAACAAATCTTCCAATGATATACAACTAGGGATTCCCTCTTTGGAGGGGCTTCCTCTCATTTCCTGCTTCAACTATGGCACAGGAAGTAAAGGAAAATCAATGGGACACAGCAAACAAAAAAAAAAAAACCCTGACAGCGGTTACGCTATCCAAGATGAAAACAGATGTTTTGCCTTTAGTTCTACTTTAAGAGAAACCAATATTTTGTTTTCATTTTTCACACAAACGTGCTAAAAACTAATAAAAAGGTGCAAAAATCTGCTACAAAAAAATGTTTGTTTTTTTTTTTAGTTTAGGTTAAAGTGGAGGGATTTCCACTCACTTCCTGTTGTGGCTATGAGACAGCAAGTGCATGGAAATCTCCCCAATTGAGAACAGATGGCAGAAAAAAACCTGCAAAAGGTTATAACCTTACTCCCTTAGGCTGGCCATACATTATACAATCTTGAGGATTTTGCTTTAGATTTACCAAAAACCATGTAATATGAGGTCAAACCTATACAACACTTTCAGTTGTATCCAATTAGGCAGGCCCTTGCACTATATAGTTGAAGGTAAATCTAAAGGAAATTGGACAGAAAATTTTATAGTGTATGGCCAGCCTTACTCTATCAAAAATGAAGAAAAAAAAAAAATATTTTGGCGTTCCTTCCTTAAATCCCCAATACAATATATACCTTCTGAATGCAGAGAACCCCTTGGTAGTCGCAATTATTTATGTTGCACAATAAGTAAGCACCTTTGGGGTTCTGTACAACTATCCTGATTAGGAAAAAACCTCCCACGCTGCCAATAAACACCAATAATAAAATCTAGGGAAGCAGCAAGCACCCAGCTATATAACCAAATAGAAACAGAAAAAAAGGGGCAGTGGGGGTAGAGGGTGCTGCACTACCAAACCTGGAGGGTTCTAAACTAAAAATAATGGAGAGGGTGAAAACCCACAGAGACCATAACGCATGTATAAAGCTACATCAACAACGTAAATGCCACTTGGTGTATCAACAAATGTGACAAAACACAATTATGCACATACTTGGCTATAAACATGTACTCGCTATAAACATGTGCCAAGAGACTAGCGGGAGAAAAACAAGTGATCTATGGGTAAATAAATAAATCGGTGTAACAAAAAACAATATCAGGAAAACAAAGAGTGATATATATCAGTGCAAAATGAAAAGTGAAAAGTGAATGACAAAAATGTCAAAGGAAACTAATAATGAGTGAACATAGACACAAAAAGATAGATAAACATATGTGGCATGAATAATGACATTGATTGGACTCACTCCACACACACAGCACAAGAGCAAAAAGGGCGCCATTCTCCTCACACAAGACTACCTTCACATTAGTTGGCTGTGCAGTGCACTCTTTCCGTGAGGGGGATACCACCACTGTTGCTGACGGTCGATGCTTCAGGATTAGTGTGTAAGGCCCCAATGCTGATCTGTTTGGTTTTGAGTGCCCTGAAAGTGCGTTGGCCCCTAGGGGCCGCAATGTGGAGGTGAGGAGGCAATTTAGCTGGTGATGGATTGTTTACCATACAGATCACTCTCACTATCACTGATCCAAGTCTGCCGTGGAGTCTTATTTTTTGGACTTTTCACATATTAATGCTCTGTGGACTATTACACCATTGTTTGGATTTATTCACTATTTGTGGCGTCCTATATGCCATTATAATACGTGGTTTCTGTGTTCATTTTATATTAATTTTTTACTTCCACTATTGTATTATTTGTGGTATTCACAGGTAGTCCCACACTGGGATTTATTCACCCTGCGTTTATCATATATTGATTACTGGTACAGCTTTTCTTCATTATATATCTCACAATTTTTTACTTGCTGCACTTATATACAGTAGTGCACTTATAGAATCGAGGACTGTTTCGTTTCACATATGGCAGTGCACTTGTGACACCCACCGTATTCATAATTTGTGATACCATTTTTTATGCCATTATTCATGCCATATATGTTTTATCTTTTTGTGTCTATGTTCACTCAGCATTAGTTTTCTTTGACATTTTTGTCATTCACTTTTCATTTTGCACTGATATATACACCACTTTTGGTTTTCCTGATATTGTTTTTCTGTTACACCAGTTTATTTATTTACCCATATATCACTTGTTTTTCTCCCCGCTAGTTTCTTGGCCCTTGTTTATAGCGGAGTACGTGCATAATTGTGTTTGTCACATTTGTTGATACACCAAGTGGCATTTACGTTGTTGATGTAGCTTTATACATGCGTTATGGTCTCTGTGGGTTTTCACCCTCTCCATTATTTTTAGTTTAGCTCCCTCCAGGCTTGGTAGCGCAGCACCATCACTTTTTTCTATCCTGATTACTTCTAAATGTAAGCTGGGAACCTTCTCAGTTTTAAAACAAGCTTAAAGCCACTATAATTATAAGATAAATACCAAGAGCAAGATTTGCCTAATAAATAAAGCATAAACTTAGAGGCAGAGTCATCGCTCTGTGTAGCTAGCATGAACGGGTGAGCGCTGGTGCACTGACTGCAGGCTGGCAAGGACAAGACATGAACAGCTGGGGTGTGAAATTTAGTGACGTTGCAATTCACAATGTGACATGTTGCGGCTCTGACAGCAAGGCCCCTGCCAATCAAAGATAGCAAGACCGGAGTAGGGGGCGTGTCAGCCAGGTCTACAGGAACTCCTGACATCCTGTAGCTCCAAACAAAAAGCTGAGGAAGGCAAAGTGACCACACCAGCAAGGATCTGCTTCTGTGGCGTGGTCAGAAAGCAGAAGGAAGAGAACAAGACTCGCAGAATCATTAGATATCTGATGCTTATTCTCAGATTTCCAGAGAAATGCTGACCCTGGATGATGCCTTGACAAAAACTGCACTGGTCTTCTGGCTAGAAAGGAAAATGAAGGCATTTTCTGGAGGAGATCTGTGATCTCTCTGGAAAGTTACAAATAGTTGTGTTACATGGAAAATATATCTGCTGTTAAGTTACACCCTGACTTTAAACATGTTAATGACACTCAAAATGTACAAATAATAGGTTTTCTACTTACATGCTGGATTCATATGAATCACGGAACCCATCAATTTGATGGTGAAGACATAGAAGTAAGGAATGAAAAAAAAAAAAAAAAAAGACTCAGATAAGTACTCAGATACATAAAAGGAAAGCCTCACTTCTCACAGCACCACAAAACCTTAACTTATTACCTTAATAACATCAACCCAGTTCCATCCCCGTGGTAGTTCACCTCTATGATCTAGAAATGCAAAACACACCAGTTATTTTATCACTCGTCAGCAGTCCTACAGACTCTTATAACATTATCACAGCAATATCACATTACATTTATATTCAGTGGGCAGTAGTGTTAAAGGTTATAGTATGAATGCTGCAGAAAGAAAAAAGAATCTGCAGTGCCCATAGCAATGCAGTTTTAATATTTACAATTTGCACAAAAAAAAAAAAAAAATTGTGCCAGGCATCTCTAAACTACAGAAAACCAGCTACTTTTCCCTTGTTTTATTAATTGTCCTCACTGTCAGAACCAAGTCAGGATTGTATATAATTTATATATTTTTATATAGATTTTATATAATGTGAGCTACAACTTTCATTCTGTGGTTGGCTCTGACAGCACAAGTGGCTCAACAGAAGTTGATTTTTCAATAGACATTTGTCAAAGGAGTCAGGTGGAAAATTCTTTACCAAACAATGTCTGCATCTAATTAGATATAATCAAAGTTCGGGTTTTCTGACATCGGCAACTGCAGCTACAGTAAAATGGCCACCACTGCAATTGCTCCCCAGTACAGAGGCCATTGAGGGTGTATTTTAAATCTTTGTGACTACTTAAATATATAATCGCTATACACACACACACACACACAACTAAAATATAAACACATTTTCCTAGAAGATTGGGGATAGTGGAAATATATTAGTGATGGGAAAGAAACCTGTACTTTGCCAGCAGTGAGGCTGTCTAACCATGGCTATACACTGCTCTGTTTAGGTCAAAGCCTAGAAAAATGGGAATGATAAGAAAGGAAATTCCCTGTTAGGCATAATGCATGGATTTTCTATCTGATCATTATTTGTTAAAGCAGAGCTCCACCCAAAAGGGGAAGTACCGCTTTAAGGACTGCTCCCCGCTCCCCATTAAGGATTGGCACCTTTGGGAGGTGGGGAGCGGGTACCCGAATTTGACTGGTACCCGCTCCCACTTCCGATCTGATCGCCTAGGCGATTGGAAGCGGAAGGTGTCCTCCCTCCCTGTAGTCTTTTGGGACACGTGACAGGTCCCAGAAGACTATAGGGCCATTTAAGAAGCACAGCTCTACTCACACATGCACAGGGAGTACCGGCTATAAAGGCACAAGCTGCAAAGCTGGGTGCCCATCACTGAAGATGCCGGCCTCCTGGAATACAGGACGGCCGGTGAAACAGGCTGCGGGGGACACACCGTGGGACAGGTAAGTGGCTGTTTTTAAAAGTCAGCAGCTACAGTTTTTGTAGCTGACTTTTATTTTTTGAAAGGGTGAGTAGAACTCCGCTTTAAGATATCATCCAGGTGGCATGGGAAAAAAAAAAGTTGTACAGTGACCAGATTACAGCATTTAAGTGGCCATTGTGAGATTTCCCCGCATGATCACATCCAAAAGGTACATACCCGTTTTGTCTGCTAGTTTGCGTTTTTGTGCTTTTGTCAACTGCTCCTTTTTGTCTTTTTTCTTACTAGAAGGAGTTATGTTTGTTGGTTCTAGGGTGCCGTCACTTCCTGCTAATGTCTGGAAAAGAAAATAGGTCATACAAAATGCAACATTATTTCAATCCATTAACAGATTTCAATTAAAAGGAGTCTGGAGGACAGAATTATGCATGATGCCATGACAGATTTGTTCCTAAAGGGTTTTGGGGTCATCACTCTGATTATGGCTTTGCTATAAAGCAAGTATGAACCCCTGTTATGAATACTTGTTCCAGGACAGTGACTCAATTGACAGTGAAGCCAGAATAACAATGAAGGCTCCAATACCTGCACCTAGCATTGTACAAGACATCACACCAGCGTTGTGGTCAAGAAAGCTGAATTCTAATTAATGCACTGTGCATACCATCTTGTTTCATTTTACTACCTTCTTTAAAAGCCTGTGTATTCACAAGGATACATGTTAGTTTGGCCATTTCATGGAAAGAAATACTCAATGTATGCATCTGGTAGAGAAGGTATAAAATACAAATCTGCTTTTTTAATAGCTGATGACCTCTTGTGGTCAATAACAAAACTAACATTGTAAAAAGGTTTAGAAGGTGATGGTATGTACTTATATATGGATTCAGTCTGAAAAAAATAAATTCAGTCCATGAACTGATATTCAGGAAAGATGTCAACTATGGCAAGATCACAAAGTATTGTATATCTGATTTTTTTGGTTTACATAAGCTACCACAAGCTGTTCCAGCAAGATTTTCACAATGATTATGGGTAGCTGATTTTCACATCACTACACATTAAAGTGGTGACATAGGGGTCAGCAGTAGGAAACTGTGAGCGCTGGAGGGCTCCTGAAGGATAAAGTAAAGTATATAGGGAGTAGAGAGGGAAGATTTATAGACTCAGATTTACAATCTGTTAAATCCAAAATGTACAGTTGTCATTGAAAAGGAAAGTGTCATTGTTCCAGTGACAATATTTCCCCTGAATTCAGAGAGAATTCTTCTTACGTCCTTTAGTGTTTCCAAGACAGGAAAGTAAGAAATAATTTCACCAACTGGACACAGTCAGTGGAAAAACAATTGATGTTTTAACCTTCACCTTCACTATCCAAAACTAAAAGAAAGGCATTTTGGCTTTAGATATACTTTACAAACCATGATACACATACAGGATCCAGTGTCTGGCAATCATTTTGAGCAAAACGTTTTATGCATAGAACACTGTATGAAAACTCTGGGAATCAACATATAGTTATCTCATACTTTTCTTCTTCACCACCAAAACATCATACGTGTGCCAAATACTCACTAAAGAGTTGTTGAATGGCTGGTGACGTTCCATTAATTCCTCCTTATTGTCTTTGGCATACTCAAATAAGGTATAACTCATGGCTGTACCAAGGTTGGCTTCCACCTGTTCTTGTAACTTGTTTGCGATACTCTGTTTGACCAGTGGGGAACTGGAACAGAAACCCCAAAACATTATTAATATTACATAAAATGAGAAAACACAACATATCAAAGGGCTGCAAAAATATACACTTACATCTGATTGTTTAAAAAAAGCATTCATGGATATATTTGGTGCAGTTTCTGGATAGGTTTCTGGCCAGGATATTTCAATCAGAAAGGCCTTAGTGTCTCCCACGTCACCAACCTATATGTTACAAAATGGAAAATGATCAGCTGTTTTATACGCACGGTATACAGTATGTGTGCTGGAGCTAATGCAAGTAGTCAAATTAGTGCGTGAATCGCCGTGTCTGTGCTGTGACAGCATGGGGTTTATTTACTAAAGCTGGAGAGTCCAAAATCAGACTCCCTTCTGCATAGAAACCAATCAGCTTCTAACCTCAGCTTGTTCAATGAAGCTTTGGCAATGAAACCTGGAAGCTGATTGGTTTCTATGCAGAAGTGCGTCTGATTTTGCACTCTCCAGCTTTAGTAAATAAACCCCCATGGGTCTGGTGCAGAGGCACTTCCTTTCGGTTCACGAGATCCAGCCGTCTGACATGCAGGGCCGCAATGATGTCACTACTGCGCATCCACGCAGGGGTCCCAGGCCACGGCACAGTACTGTGAAGGAATGTTCCTTCAGAGCGCATGCGCCGGCTCTAAAAAAAAAAAAAAAAAAAAAAAAAAAAGAGACAATATCTTCTAAACGTTTAGGAGATACTCATTTTACCTACAGGTAAGCTTTATTATAAGATTACCTGTAGATAAAAGTTAAAAAAAGGAGTTTATTACCACTTTAATATACAGTATGTATTGTCTGTACACACTGTATTAAACAAAACAAACAAAAAAACCCCCAAAAAAAACAAAAAAAAAAACAAAAAAAAAAAAAAAAAAAAACCACAGAAAATCTAGTTTTACCCGATACTGGAAGGCGGTGGGCCCAAGCTCCTTAAAACTTTCATCACCTTCATAGATAGACCTTAGAGCTTCCAACTCCATCTAAAGAAAAGCAAATAGTGACAAGATGGTTATGGGAATTTCAGTGCATTGTCAGAAAACTGTAGATTATAGGCAGAACATTAGCAAAGGGCAGCAATTATGTCACTGGCTATCTACAAACCAGATAAGCATTTAAAGTGGTTGTAAACCTCAGACATGAAATATGAGCAAAGCATATCCCGCTATAGTGTGTACTTCTCAATTAAAAGCATTAGGTGTGATATCTGTTTGCTGCTTCATTCCTCTGCTATCATCATGAATCACTTCTGACAAGTTTTCCTGACACCAAGAGAAAAAAGGTGACAGGGCAGGGAGCTACAGCACGCAGCCTGTGACTGTCAGTGGTGTGTCCCTTCCCTCCAATCAGGTCTTCTCACTGAGTGTAATTTCAGCTCCCCACTTCCTGCTATCTGAAACCACTTTACGGAGGAGAGGCAGCACAGCACTGTGAACATCTAAAGAGGGTGAACCTCATTTTCAGGAATATACAGGAATAAAATGAGCTTTTAAAGAAGAATTCCAGGTATGGCATGTTTTACATAGTTATATTGGTCCAGCTTGGACCAATGGAACTATGCATATACCATACCTGTGAGATCTCTCTAGAAGCTGGAAATCACTGAAGTAGACACGGCTACTCTAGTGACCTCCATTTGCATCCAGGTCTGGTGCTGAGCAGCTGCCCTGCTGTATTCTAAACTCAGGAAATTGGACACTTGGCACGGTCGCCATTCAGAGATCACTTGCATTTTCGCAATTGATAGATGCGATGAGGAGGAAGGGGGGCGATGTCATGCTCTCCAAATTGTCCAATTGGAGAATGCTTTGGACACACTAAGACAGGGCTCTGAATCTAGGAACCAGCTAAAAAAGTTAGGAGCCAGTTTTGTTAGCATAGCGTGGGTTGTCAGCTCCCGGGCAAGCAACTTTTGGGCAACAAGCTTCATTCAATGCGATTTGCCGCAAGACAATCACACCAAATCCACACTATGTTTTAGGAACTATTGAAAATAATGGCACCTGAACTTGCCTTTACAGTGATTCTGCCGTGATCCCAAAATGCCCGAGTGTAAATGCAGCCACCCTGGTTCACACATATGCGATTCTGGGTAAGTTTTCAAACTCACAGATTTGCATGACAGGCTAGATATGACGTGTTTCTATTGAGGTGGTTCATACAGATGCTATCCACAAGCATTTGAGTGCCATTATGAAAAGGGTCCTATGCGAGTTTGTAACGGCGCGTTCCAGACTCATACGTGATATAGTAGAGTGGCATGTGGAGATAAGTGTTCACATGGGATTGCTATTGACAAGAGTTTTTGCACTGAAGTCAATAGGGGACGCAGTTTGGCACTGAAGTCAATAGGGGATGCAGTTTGGCACTGAAGTCAGTGGGACGCAGTTTGGCACTGAAGTCAGTGGGACGCAGTTTGGCACTGAAGTCAGTGGGACGCAGTTTGGCACTGAAGTCAGTGGGACGCAGTTTGGCACTGAAGTCAGTGGGACGCAGTTTGGCACTGAAGTCAGTGGGACGCAGTTTGGCACTGAAGTCAGTGGGACGCATTTTGCATTGAACTCAATGGGATATAGTAGAGTGGCATGTGGAGATAAGAAGTCAATAGGGGGCGATTTTGCACTGAAGTCAATGGAAGGCAATGTGTGAACCCAGGCACCAGTACTCAATTTCTTGTCACCATGGCAACATGGTGCCTGGGAGTTGTCAAGAAAATGCAAAGTGATCTCTAAATGGCACCTGTGCCCAGAGGCCGACCTCCTGTGCTCAGAATACAGCAGGGCAGCTGCTTGGCAAAGGAACCAGAAGCTAGTGGAGGTCACTGAAGTAGCCAGGTCTACTTTAGTGATTTTCAGATTCTAGAGGGATCCCACAGATATGATATACAGTATGCATAGCTACATTGGTTCAAGTTGGAATCCGTTTTTTAAGAAGCATTTCTTACTAAGGAAGTTCATTCTATTCTGTGACTGTCAGTTCAATAAACTGAGATTCACCCTTCTCTAACGCAAAAAGTGCTCTGTCTTCAGTCTTTACTTCTAACACAATGTCAATGCACTTCAAACCACTTTCAGAGGTGTCTACTGCCAACATGTCCAAGAAATGGCTCCTAATAGGGAACTACAGAGAGCCTGGGATAGTCTCAAGCTGACCATACACAATGACATTTTAAGGCAATTTCAAACATGTTTAATCAGCTTTAAAAGTAAAAAAAAAGAAAAAAGAAATTGAAACAGATGACGGTGATAGTATTGATTGTTTCGTGGATCTGATTAATCCTACTGGTAGCGGATTACGTTTTTTGACATTTGCAACTGATGCTGACTGTAAATGCCAAGTGCTTGTCACAAAATAAAACTGGCCACAGTGACCCAGGAGGTTGTAGGTAGAGCTTATAGGAGGCGAAATTCAAAAGACATATTTTCCGTCAATGTGCAGAAAATCTAATGCACGTCCTATTGAAAGCAAGTAATCAGGCTTTCTTGATAAGGCACCCCCACCCACTGAGCTGTGGGTCCAAGCCCTGGGTAAGCTTTTTGTCAGTGGTGATTTGTTACTCTGGCCTGAGCACTGCATCCTCAGAGGTCACATGCTCCCCAGATACCTGGAAGTTCTGGCTGAATAGGGTTGGGCAGCATAGTTAGCACTTCCACATGGCAGTACTAGGATCATTGGTTTGAATCCCAAACAAGGCACCACTTGCCTGGAGTTTGCATGTTCTCCCTGTGCCTACGTGGGTTTCCTTCGGGTACTCCTGTTTCCTCCCACACTCCAAAGACATGCTGGTAGGTTAAAGTGGAGCTCCACCCAAAAGGGGAAGTTCTGCTTTAAGGGCTGGTCCCCTGCTGACAGGTACCTGCTCCCACTTCCACTGTGAATGCTTAGGTGATCGGAAACAGAAGTTGTCTTCCCTGTAGTCTTCTGGGACATGTGACAGGTCCCAGAAGACTACAGGACCATTCACAAAGCACAGTACTACTCGCGCATGCGCAGTGGGCACCCAGCTGTGAAGCCACAAGCTGTCCTGTCAGAGCCGGGTGCCCACAATGAAGGTGCTGGTGCCGGGAACACAGGGTGGCGGTGAAACTGGCTGCGGGGGGGGGGGGGGGGGGGGGGGGGGGGGGGCGGCAAACTGCAGAACTGAAGCACAGGTAAGTGTCCATTTTGTAAAAGTCAGCAGCTACAAAAACTATTTTTTCACTGGAACTCCACTTTCTAAATTGATCCTTTCTAAATTGACCCTAGTATGTGTATGTATGAATATGAGTTAGGGACCTTAGATTGTACACCCCTTGAGGGTTATGGAATGATGGGAATGTACAATATAGATATCTGTGTAAAGCACTGCATAAAATTCATGGCGTTATACAAGTATCTGAAATAAATAAATATCAAGGTGTGTAGGTTGATGGCAGAGATCCTGTCACTGACCTAAATGAGAAATGTAACATTTTCTAGGTAACTATACACGATTGCATGAAGAAAAAAAAAAAAAAAAACCGCTGCAACGCATTGTGTCAATTAGGACTCACGCTCACTGCCGCTCTTAAACTCACGCTTTTGGCATTTTTGCTAAAGCCCCTGAACTCAACTCAAATGCCTACGTGCCCATGTACACACAGACTTTTACCAGAGTTCAGGAGCAGCAGAGTTTAGAGACAGTAAAACGCTCCTCTCCTGAACACAGAAGAATTGCACTTAGGAGGAGTGTTTTGGAAAAAAAAAGCCAACACATCAAAACGTGTGTTAAAGCTTGGCGCATTTAGTGCTTGGGTGTTTTTTCATTTCAAAGGCCAGGATACATTTAACAGCAACAATCTTTTCTTTTTTTTTTTTGCTGCCAGAAGAAATATGTCAAGGGCAGTTATCAGCATCTAGTGTGCACATACCCCTTAACAAGAACAGCTGGAGACACAAGACTGCTGAAGTAAGAAGAAGGTAACAGCATATATGCAGCAGTACCAGAAGCATAGTACCAGAAGCAGGTGCAGGCTTTGCCAGGCGGCGGTAGCCAAAGACACGGCCAGCTGCCACCACCGGATGTGGCCACCTGCTGCCGCACGTAGCCACCTGCCACCGCACGTAGCCACCTGCCACAGCTGCCGCCACTGGACAAAGCCAACTGCCACAGCTTCCACCGCTGGACGTGGCCACCTGCCACAGCTGCTGCCACTGGACGTAGCCACCTGCCACAGCTGCCGCCGCTGGACGTAGCCACCTGCCACAGCTGCCGCCACTGGACAAAGCCAACTGCCACAGCTTCCGCCGCTGGACGAAGCCAACTGCCACAGCTTCCGCCGCTGGACGTAGCCACCTGCCACAGCTGCCGCCGCTGGACGTGGCCACCTGCCACAGCTGCCGCCGCTGGACGTGGCCACCTGCCACAGCTGCCGCCGCTGGACGTGGCCACCTGCCACAGCTGCCGCCGCTGGACGTGGCCACCTGCCACCGCTGGACGTAGGCAGCTGCCACTTACTGCATACATGCAGCTGTAGTAGCAGAAGCATTTGGACAATTGTCAGCATCAGGCTACGTCCAGCAATGGCAGCAGCAGGTTATGTGGAGTATGGGAGGTTTGGGGAGTTTATTACTAGTAACACTGCAGTCTATTGAAGTTGTAAGGACACAATGTGGGACTCACCTCTTGGTCCTCATTAGCAGTCATGGTGTAAGCAGAGCGGCTGCTACTATTCCCAGATAACAGCGCTGATCCCCCTAGCTCATGGGTGACAGCTCACGGACTTCTACCATACACAACGCCAGCCATTGCTCCCACTCCACACTTCTCTACACTGCGCATGCCCGTTGCCGCACGTCTTGTGTCATGGCGTCTCTCGTCAAAACCCTACGTTCTGTAGGGCAGCCATTTTTATTAGGGGAAAAATGCTTTAAAACATGTATGCATAGTATATATATACTACTTATAAGAGTGACTTTCTTCTTAACTTCCATTCGCTTAAATACAAATATATGATCACAGTGTAGGCATGTTATAAATTCAGAAGGGGGGGACGGACACTGTGAAGTTTATTGTAGTTGAGGGATGTATGGATGGAATGGCGAGTTGCCCAAAGTGAACATGGAGGCGGCAACGGCGGATGTCCCGGCGGGCAGTGCGGTGTGTCAGCTGACTGCCGGTGTGAGGTGGAGGAGGAGAAGGGTGCACAGGCCGAATGAGAGGAGCTGTGTATGGGGGAGTTGTGTGGTGACAGGCCGCACACTGGAGTCATGTACAGAGGAGAGGACACTGCCCTCTGACCAGGTAATAGAGACGAGCCATCACGGTGCTGCCATCATGTCTACACGCCATTATTCATCGTGAACTCCAGAAGCCACAACCCACACCAATGCAGCGGTGTGCTCCTATATAGACACTGACGAGTGTTTTCTATAGAACTGTCGTAGGTTCTGGAGTCAGCCATGATCCCCCCTTGTCCTCTTCCACAGGGAGAGGGGTCACTGGGAGCCAATCAGATTCTGCCTCATACACATGTGCTAACAGAGCAGCATGGATGATATCAGAGGGGGGCACAAGTCTATTCCTGTTTTTTTTTCTGGTACAATAATTTGTACCGTTGCAGCAACAACCTATCATACAGGAGAAGACCCTTGTAGGGGAAATGCAACAAAGAAACGCGTCACGTAGGCATGAGTGAAATGTGCGCAACAGTTATTTTAGCATTCAATATACTAATTGGCAACCGCATGGAGGGAGCCGGCGATCTACATGTGTTCCCTGAGTCTTCTGGTCCAGGGACATGCCAGGAAAACAAAATGTGATGAGAAGGGGGAGGGTAGTGAACTGATTTGCTGGTCCTAGAAGGGAGGAGAGTAAAAAAGGGGGGGGGGGGCTTCCTACAGGCTTTGGTGGTGGTAGTAGTATGAGCAGTCAAAGGTTGCCCAGGCTGGTCGGATGCAGAGTGGGAAGGGCATACGACCAACAGAAATTCTATTCTGTAATGCAGTGCTTTTCACCTGGAAGATAATAGAGGGCCTCAAGTGCCACTTCCAGAGAGCCACACAGGAGCAGCACATTTCTGCACCTCAACCCCCAAAAACTCTGGTCCAGCTGCATGTTTTATTAGTGTATTGCAATGCACATTGAAGAAACTGAAATACAGTAACCAACAGCATTGGTGTCATTGGATGAAATAACTCCCAGCATTGCTGTCAGTAGATGTAATAATAACCCCCAGCATTGCCGTCAGTGGACGCAATAATAACCCCCAGCATTGCCGTCAGTGGACGCAATAATAACCCCCAGCATTGCTGTCAGTGGACGTAATAATGACCCCCAGCATTGCTGTCAGTAGACGTAATAATGACCCCCATCATTGCTGTCAGTAAATGTAATAATACCCCCCAGCATTGCTGTCAGTAGATGTAATAATACCCCCCAGCATTGCTGTCAGTAGATGTAATAATGACCCCCAGCATTGCTGTCAGTAGATGTAATAATGACCCCCAGCATTGCTGTCAGTAGATGTAATAATGACCCCCAGCATTGCTGTCAGTAGATGTAATAATGACCCCCAGCATTGCTGTCAGTAGACGTAATAATGACCCCCAGCATTGCTGTCAGTAGACGTAATAATGACCCCCAGCATTGCTGTCAGTAGACGTAATAATGACCCCCAGCATTGCTGTCAGTAGACGTAAAAATAACCCCCAGAATTGCTGTCAGTAGATGTAAAAATAACCCCCAGCATTGCTGTCAGTAGACGCAATAATGACCCCCAGCATTGCTGTCAGTGGACGCAATAATGACCCCCAGCATTGCTGTCAGTGGACGCAATAATGACCCCCAGCATTGCTGTCAGTGGACGCAATAATGACCCCCAGCATTGCTGTCAGTGGACGCAATAATGACCCCCAGCATTGCTGTCAGTGGACGCAATAATGACCCCCAGCATTGCTGTCAGTGGACGCAATAATGACCCCCAGCATTGCTGTCAGTGGACGCAATAATGACCCCCAGCATTGCTGTCAGTGGACGCAATAATGACCCCCAGCATTGCTGTCAGTGGACGCAATAATGACCCCCAGCATTGCTGTCAGTGGACGCAATAATGACCCCCAGCATTGCGGTCAGTGGACGCAATAATGACCCCCAGCATTGGGGTCAGTGGACGCCATATTGACCCCCAGCATTGGTGTCAGTGGACGCCATATTGACCCCCAGCATTGGGGTCAGTGGACGCCATATTGACCCCCAGCATTGGGGTCAGTGGACCCATATTGACCCCCAGCATTGGGGTCAGTGGACGCCCATATTGACCCCCAGCATTGGGGTCAGTGGACGCCATAATGACCCCCAGCATTGGGGTCAGTGGACGCCATAATTGACCCCCAGCATTGGGGTCAGTGGACGCCATATTGACCCCCAGCATTGGGGTCAGTGGACGCCATATTGACCCCCAGCATTGGGGTCAGTGGACGCCATATTGACCCCCAGCATTGGGGTCAGTGGACGCCATATTGACCCCCAGCATTGGGGTCAGTGGACGCCATATTGACCCCCAGCATTGGGGTCAGTGGACGCCATATTCATTGGGGTCAGTGGACGCCATATTGACCCCCAGCATTGGGGTCAGTGGACGCCATATTGACCCCCAGCATTGGGGTCAGTGGACGCCATATTGACCCCCAGCATTGGGGTCAGTGGACGCCATATGACCCCAGCATTGCTGTCAGTGGACGCAATAATGACCCCCAGCATTGCTGTCAGTGGACGCAATAATGACCCCCAGCATTGCGGTCAGTGGACGCCATATTGACCCCCAGCATTGGGGTCAGTGGACGCCATATTGACCCCCAGCATTGGGGTCAGTGTGGACGCCATATTGACCCCCAGCATTGGGGTCAGTGGACGCCATATTGACCCCCAGCATTGGGGTCAGTGGACGCCATATTGACCCCCAGCATTGGGGTCAGTGGACGCCATATTGACCCCCAGCATTGGGGTCAGTGGACGCCATATTGACCCCCAGCATTGGGGTCAGTGGACGCCATATTGACCCCCAGCATTGGGGTCAGTGGACGCCATATTGACCCCCAGCATTGGGGTCAGTGGACGCCATATTGACCCCCAGCATTGGGGTCAGTGGACGCCATATTGACCCCCAGCATTGGGGTCAGTGGACGCCATATTGACCCTCAGCATTGGGGTCAGTGGACGCCATATTAGCCCCCAGCATTGGGGTCAGTGGGCGCCATATTAACCCCCAGCATTGGTGTCAGTGGACGCCATATTAGCCCCCAGCATTGGTGTCAGTGGACGCCATATTAGCCCCCAGCATTGGGGTCAGTGGGCGCCATAATAACCCCGCATTGGGGTCAGTGGATGCAATAATATTAACTCCCAGCATTGGTATCAGTACTATTAACATTAATACACATTGGTGGTCAGTGGCAGTGAAATTTACCCCACCCACCCTGCATTGATAGTGGCAGTGAAATGTTAGCCTCCCTCACATTGCCCCTGTATTGGTGCTCAATGTAGTAATAGTTTACCCCCTCCTCATTTGTAATGGCTGTGAAAATGTTAACCTCCCTTCCATCCTCCTGTATTGTGGTCATGCCAGTGAGATTGTTAAACCTCTCATTCTTCCCCCCTGCACTGGCAGTGAAAGTGTTAACCAACCTCGGTGATCACGTACCCATCATACATTCCCATGCTGCTGTTTCCTTAGGCTGGGAATGTACTGGTACTGTGGATGGAGATAACTCTGCCCACAGTACACACTCTCTTTCAGTTGCAGGTGTTGAAAACAGAGTGTTCTTGTACCTGGCACCTCGCTACTACTCTGCAATATGATTGGTGCCCAAGAGCCCCCAGGCTGCATGCAGAGGGTTGGTGGGCCGCATGTTAGCCACCAAGGCTTTAAAGACTCATTCACACTTTGCGCATGCTAAAAGACTGTATTTTAGTATGCAGATTGCTGTTCCTTTGGAGTCCAGTGAGGGGCGTTGTGATGCTCTCTTTCAGCTTATTGCACTATCTACATTTTTTTTTCAACTTTTTTGAAGCGTTTTAAATAACAACTCACTCAGATCTGTACACCGCAGTGTGTGATAAGCGGTGCAATGCAATCTGCTGTGGGAAAATGTTACATGTCTGCATTTTTTTCACAGGGCACCGCACATCACCACTCGTGGTGTGGATGGGGCACTTAGGAAGCCGTTGTTTTCTATGTATCCTTTCTCAAGTGTGAACTTAGCTTTACTGTGAGATGAATTTCAGTTTCCCCTCTCTGGAGAGCTGTTATGTGACAAAATGAGGTTTCCATTGTTCCAGGACGTTGTTAAGACACTCCCAGCCGATGTTAAAAATAAATAAAGGCTGGCTGAAGGTGTCTTAGCAACGTCCTAGCAACAAGGTAGGATGGGATAATGTAATCTCTAGGAGCTTTCAGTCAAGCTTTGGGAGGTACATAAAAGGCCTACACCTATAGCAGGGGCATTATCCAACTTTAGTCACAGCCACACAGTTTTTTTTTTTTTTTTATCTACAAGCGCCCCCTACCTGCATAAGGTGTTTTGGTAAAGGTGAACTAACCCTCTAAGTTTAACCAGTTGCCGACTGCAGATAGCCGAATGACGGCTTCACTGCGGCTGGCCAGTTCTGGGAGGGTGTTGTATGACTCTCCTGCGCACCCCCTGATTGTTGTCCTATGGACACAGTTGATCATGTGACATGGTAAAAGGCCAATCGCCAAAGGCCTTTTACCACGTGATCAGCCGTGTCCAATGACACACTGTTTACCGGGAAATGCAATTGCTGGTTATCGGCTGCACTTTCCTCACGCTATCACAGCAGTTGTCAGAGGAGGGATCGGCACCGATCATCAGGGCACTGATGATCAGTGCCACCCACCAGTGCTGCCCGCAAGTGCCCAGCAGTGCCACCCACCGGTGCAGCCCAGCAGTGTCACCTGTCAGTGCCGACTATCCATGCCCATCAGTGCTGCCTATCAGTGCAGCCTCATCAACGCACATCAGTGAAGGAGAAAAATTATCTGTTTGAAAAAAAAAGTTTTTCTTTGTTTCTATTATAACATTTTGCAAATTTTTTGCTTTTTTTTTTTTTTTTTTTTTTTTGTCTACAGCGCAAAAAAATAAAACATCCAGCGGCGATTAAATATCACCAAAAGAAAGCTCTATTTGTGTGAAAATAATAACAATTTTATATGGGTACAATGTTGCATGACCGCGCAATTGTCATTCAAAATGCGACAGCACTGAAAATTGGCCTGGGCAGGAAGGGGGTATAAGTGCCCTGTAGGCAAGCGGTTAATTAAATGGATTCATGTAAGCTCCAAGGAGCAGGGCCCTCCTTTCCCTCTTGTATTGAACTATATTGTTGCTGTATTGTAAAGCGCTGAGCAAACTTGGCGCCATATAAATCCTGTATAATAATAATGTACACTGAGCTGTGAACTGTTCGGAGTGTAGTACTAATGTGTGTGAAATTGGGTTACATTTGTGAGAATGTTCGGGGGGTGTAGTGAATAAAGTACAAATGCACCAACAGCAAAATTGTAGAAGCATTATTTCCTATTGTACTTATTGGTTTTACAATATTTTTTTTATATTGAGCTGATGTGTAATTTACAATGATAGGGGGGGAAAAAACTGAAGTGGACCGTAGGTGAGTTGTACTTCTACATTTAGAGTTCTTAACTTGTATTTGTTTTTTCTTTTTTAAGGTTTGCACCCCTATTTTAAAAATGGGTCCCACGCAGTGGGATTTCCCTGTGGAGCTATGCTGTCGTCCAATGGCCTTCGTGACCCTCACTGGGCTAGATGTGACATACAATGCTGTCCACAGAGCGATTTGGGATGCATTTTGCGCCAACAGAAGAGCAGACCGGGTGCCCATCTCATTTAAGGTCCTTCCTGGTGATCACGAGTATCCAAAATGTAGGACAAAGGTAAGCATATTCTGTGACTTTACACAACTCTTTAAATCTTGTGGATAAATAGTAATTGTATTACTTCTTCAGAGAACATCATATGAATGGTACATTCCTAAAGGCATCCTCAAGACCGGATGGATGAATAAACATTTGAACCTGGTACCTGCTCTGGTTGTTGTGTTTTATGAGCTGGATTGGGACGAGGCCCAGTGGAAAGAGAAGCAGTCGGAATGTGCAACTAGGGTGGAAATTGTAAGGTACAGAACCCAGACTATTTCTGTCTACAAACTTTTTAGGGTCTATAATCTTAATGTTGCATATATTTGGTAATAGTACATTCCACTCAAAAAGGCAATATTAAATTCTTCGTGACCAGAGGTTACAATGGTAAAAGCCCCAAAACAAAAAATTATTAAATTGCTGCTCACCAATTGTTAAATGTGGTGACTGCATTAGCTTTGTTATTTAGGCTTTTTTTTTCTTTTTTTCACCTGTGTTTCAGCCAGTAAAGCTGGGTACACATAGCCAGCTTTTTTTTTTTTTTGTTTAACCAGGCTGCTGAACAGAAAAAACTGACCGCTCCCCTCATCAACCTAAGCTCCCCTTCCCCACCAGAATACAGTGATCATTGCTCAGAGCCATTGGCTACAATCTCTGATCAAATGCTGGTTTTCCAGCATGCCCGTTTGACAGAAGCTGTTCATTAGGTCTGGCAGCTGTGCACACTGACAGAAAGTCGTCTAGTTCCTGCTAAACCAGCCTATTTTCGGCCCGTATGTTTTGGACTTTAGTCTGTTATTTATGAAATTATTTTAACAGACCAAGCTGTCCAGGCAAAATGGCAGTTAGAGGGTTGAGACAAAAGGGTTTAACACTGAGCCTGGGTTCACACTGATGCGGTGCGGCACGTCACATGTGATTCGCACAGGAACTGCACTGCATTCCTGTGCGAATCACATGGGATTTCTTTGCGTTGCAATTTCAAATTGCATTGCATGTGCACCAAAAAAGTCTGCACCAGAATCGGATCGCATGGGTTTTCAAACCCAGTGTGATCCGATTCTGCATATTGCACCGCGTTTTGCAAAATTATTTTGGGGTGTCGTTAACCTAACCTAACCTGTCGTTAACCTAAAATACACACCCAGAGGGTTCATATGAACGGGGTGCGATTATGATGCGGTGCGGAAATCGCACAGAAACCGGTGCGAATTCTGCACTGCATCGGTGTGAACCCAGGCTGAAGGGTGCTTACAATGGTCTGCTTTTCTTTATGTACATCCTTTATTCCAAAAGGGGGAAAAAGCTACTGCTGTAACTGCTCATAAAGATTTAGCTGGAGCCCAGCTTCAATTTTAGTGAAGTCTATCTAAGTCTATCTAAATCTGCTAGTCTAACACTACCCCCACTTCTGGAAAATGCTGCTGTCAAAAGGTGTCTGCTTTACTACACCCAGAATGGAGAGACCCTTAGATGGGAAGTGTGTTACTGGCTGGATTACAAGGTGAAAAGCCGAAAACGAATGCAGTCACATCATCTACAGATTAGTAAACTGCAATATATTACATTTTTGTTTTGGGGTTTATTACAGCTTTAATGAAGCCTAAGTGCCTAGGGAAAATTTAGTAGCGTCAGTTTAGTGAAAAATGCTAAAGGGGTGCTTATAGCTAGGGGGGGGAACTTTAGCCACAGCTGTATAAAACTACAGACTACTATCAGATTTGCATGGATTATGCATTACAAAAGTGGTCAGGAGGCCTGCTTATGAAACCCTGGAAGCTGCCATTGCCAAGTTCTTGAAAGCAGTGTCAGATCCAGGGTGGACGTACAATAGTGTGATGCTGCCGAAGCCTGCACTACCCTAGGGCTGTCTCCATTTTCAGGTAAGGCAATGGGATCCTTACCTGTAAACGCCTTCTTAACAGGTTCAGAAGAAAGATTTATAATCTGCAATGTATGTCTCATACATATAATAGCCTTGTATTAGCACCATGGGTGATTGAAGGTGAATGTGCCATGCATTATAACACCCTTTTCCTCCTTTAGGCAAAGCTTGCAAGGAAGGAATACAAAGGTTGCTGTGGTTTTAATTCAGAAGAAAACACCATTACCACCAGGTACCTTTATGTGTTGTATAGTAATATTGGACTGAAACAATATTTATATGCCTCACTTACACCTCCTGTAATGTAAGGACACGTACTGTATATTTCAGTAGTTGTATACTTAGCTAATGTTCCACTGATACATACCTTATTGGACAACTGAGGAAAAGTAATTTTATTGAGTATTAGTTTTCCTTATTTCCTTCCTCTGTAAAATAAATCTGTAAGATCTGTAGGTAATATGGTAAACATCGCAGCTGAATGTAAAAGAAAGAATTGCTGGCAATTAAAAAATAAAAAAAACGGTGTGTGGTCCCCCCCCTTTGGGTCTGGTATGGATTTTGAGGGGAACCCCCACGCCCTTTAGCAAGATTCTGCCCCCCCCCCCTCCTCCTATGTGAATGAGTATGGGATACATGGTACCACTACCCATTCACAAAAAAAACTGTAGTGTGAAAAAAGACAGGAGACAACGTCAATCACGATGCCCGCCGCCAACCCAAAAAAAGAATGCTCTGCTCCCAACGCTGGCTCCCGGCCGTTTGATTTCTCCGCTGGCTTGACAGTTCTTAAATATGTAAGGGACAGGGTCACCTGGTACATCACCTGCGTAACCCCACCCCCGTGTGACATCGACTGGGGCATGCTGGTTCAATGATGTCACACGGGGCAGGGGTCACATATGTGATGGTCCCGCCCTTTACATGCTAAACGGGGCTTCCAGATTCCGATAAGCTCCCCGCCTGCAGACCCCCACAACCACAGCCCAGGGTTTTGGGGAAGAGGCCCTTGTCCCCATCAACATAGGGACAAGGTACTTTCGGGGGGGGAAGGCTCGCCAGGCTGCATGCTCTGAAAAGGATGTGGTATGTATTTTTTGGGGGGGGGGACCCCACGCCATTTTTATTTATTTTTTTTGGCATGGGAGGGAACCCCACCCCATTTTTTTAATTGCTGGAAATTCTTTTTTTAAATTCAGCTGTTAGTGGGGAACTCCGCTGACAGCTGAAACAGCCTTACAGACCTTCCTGCATGTGCGGTGCGTTTTTGGAGCGTTTTTGAGTTGGTAACCATTCATTTAATTGGGAAGAGGTATTTTTTTTTAACTCCCCAAACATGCCTCAAAGATGCTGCAAGCAGGAGTTTTTATACTGCACCGCAAGCGCAACGCCTCAGTGTGAAAACATACATAGATACACATTCACATACACAGGGAAGCAGTTTTCTTGAACTTTTCAGGCATTTTTTTTTAACGCAAAAAACGCTTCAAATGATCCTCAGTGGGAAAGCAGCCTTAAGCATTTTTTCTTCTGCCTGTGTTGTTGGTGGATAGGTTCCTTCACTTCTTATTTAGGGAAAAGTTGCCCCCAGCACAGTTAATGGGGGAAGATCTCTTTAAAGCTGACCATACACTGATTGAATTTAGATCAGTTTGTATGGTGTCCACACTCAACAAAACTCGATCAATTGTTTGATTTCTATTGAAGGGATATTCTGGAAAATTTTGCTTGATCAGCAGTTGCAACCAGTCAGCCGCAGCAACCGATCAGGATGTTTTGATAGTGGCAGGTGCTGCTGTCAGAATATAATATCCTGGTGGGGGATTTGGTCAGCTATCTCCATCATTCCACTGGCTGAAGGAAAAGAAACTAAATTGGGTATGGCCAGCTTAACAAAGCCCCAGATAACAGCAAAACATGATTTTGTTCTGATCTTTTCCCTCTCTATCTGAACCAGAAAAAAAATAGCCAATATGTTTTTTTTTATTTTTTTTTTATTTAAACTTTTGAATAGAGAATAAAATGGTTAGAACCTCTGACAGATTTCTTTTTTTGTTGTGGTTTGTGTCCCATCAGGGTGATTTCCCTTCATTCCCTGTTTCAAAGACACTGCAAGAAGTAAGGGGAGATCTCTCCAAAGTCAGGGGATATCCCTTGTTAGACAGCTGCCACCAGGTTTCTCTATTAGAAGCATCCCCTTCACCTCCTATTGTTACCATGAGAACTCAGATCTTTTACTTTCTGCCTCGAAGACAGTGGTCACCAGGACTAATAGTGAGGGGGACACAAAAAGCAATAAAGACCTGACAGAGGTTCTAACCCTTCCACATTCTATCCAAAACTGTGATGGAGTCCCCTGTTCATTGTGTGTGGATGTGTGTTATTCTACCAGTTCTCATTTCTGTTATTCTGCCTTTCATTCAGGTGAAGATCTGATTGCTTCAGAAAGAGCTGCCGCTCTTTGCAATGCCTGTGATCTTTCAGGAAAATCTCTATTTGTGCTCCCACACACTGATCACTTGGTGGGCTACATTATTAGGTATGCCGTTTTCTGTTCACATCAGAATTTATAAAAATCTGAGGGAATCTTGGAGCCAATTGGATCTCAAGTACCATGTTCTATTACAGGCTACAACAAAAAATGACTTAACATTTTGCTGCTGTCACTTTTAATCGAGTTCATTGTATAAACCTGAGCATGCATATCTATTTTACATGGATGTAATTGAGTTTAGCACATTCTTTTATGATCAGATTCTGTACACTCATTATTATTATTATCTCCCTCTAGGTTAGAGAATGCATTTTATGAGCATGCGCAGACCTATTACTACACTGAAATCAGAAGGATAAAGTCCCACAAGGAGTTCTTAAATAAAACCACTCATCAGGTACGGTGATGACTGGTGATGTAAATAATGTACATATAGTAGATGAGTTTGCTGATTTAGTTAAAATTCTGTCATTTTTTTTTTTTATATTTTATCTTTTTTTTTTTTTTTTTTTATTTAATATACTGTACATAGAATGCTTTAAATTGAGGAACCCATATACCTGACCAGTTTAGCTATTTTCAGTTGGATTGGGTGATCCAGTCATGTTTGTAGGTCCTGGCTGACATCTCCTGGGGGCACAATTAAATGGACAGGTTAGAAATCCTGTTCTGTTTACTATTGTTTGCCTGGGAGATAAGCAGTGTCAACAAAATCTAGCCTGTTTGTACTTCTCCTATCTGCTTCATTGACACTTGGCTGAGAGGCATATTTATATAGCACTCTGCAGACAAGTTAGGTTGAGGAAAGTCCTCAAACATTGGATGAGACTATGGGACCAAAAAAACGCATTTGGAGCGATCATCAGATAATCTGATCGTTAGTACACAGCTTTTGAGAGCCGATCATGACAGTTCATCCGTAGGGACAATTATTACTTGTATAGCGCCGTCAATATATGCAGCACTTTACAAATGTATTATACATTCACATCAGTCACTGCCTTCAAGGAGCTTACAATCTAAGGTCCCTAACTCACATTATTACACATACTAGGGCCAATTTATACAGGAGCCAAGAACCTACCAGCAGTGTGAGAGGAAACCGAATTACCTGGAGGAAACCCACACAGGCACATGAAAAACTCCAGGCAGGTAGTGCCAGGGTTGGGATTCGAACCGATGACCCTAGTGCTGCCAGGCAGAAGTGCTAACCACTTAGCCACTGTGCTGCCATGTAATTGGTATAGTATTTATACATAAATAAATTGAGTGGCCAAGAGCACGCATGCTCATAAACTAAAGAATACAATACAGTAGAATACATCACATCACTCTTGATGTTGTATTCTCTCTAAGACTTTTCGTAACCTATTTCTTTTTTATTTAAGACTAGCATGCCAATAAAATGGTTGATCATTCATCTGATTTTCTCATCATGTTTACTAGGCTTAAGAGTGATATCTATTTGGGTAAGCCAGCCATACACTGATGAAATTTGCCTGGTCTAGCAGGGACAAACTGAAGACCAAATTTCGATCAGTATGTAGGCTCCGCTGTTTTGTTTAATTTACTTCTGTTGAATAGACACATTGGAAAATTTTCCATTGATGAGAGGCTGCAGTCAGTTAGCTGCAACTGCTGATCTGTGAACTTTGACAGTAGTGGGTAAATGTCCTGACAGGGGAGATTCCTCCATTCACCTTGTTTGGGTGGATGGAAGAATCCGTTTGTTTTTCAGCTAGCTGTACAAGAAAAAACATTTTATGGCTAGCTTAAGCCTTTGTTCACACTAGTGCAGTGGCAGCATGATGCATTTTTCAGTGCAGTGAAGCCTGGCTTAGAGGCTAGTGGTCACCTGCTTTTTATTGTGCTAATGTTTAACTGCTTCAGCTCCACTCCATAGCAGAAATACTGCTACAGGGCTGCAGCTGTGTGCAAAATCGAGCGTGTGTGTGTGATAGATATATGTGTATATATATATATATGTGTGTGTGTGTGTGTGTATATATATATATATATATATATATATATATGTATATATATATATATATAATTTTGCATTTCCAGGTTGGGGTGCCGCCATTCACGGCCGCGGCTTTCAATCACCGGGTTCCGGACGGTGATTACTCGTCGGCACCTGGTGCTTGCCAAGGATCTCCAACGTAGGGGGAGAACTGTAAATTAAACAGTTCTCCTCCCTGTCAGCTCGTGCACACTGCTTTGCATGACTGTGCACAGCTATGCAAAGCAGTGTGCTTACAGTGAAGCAGAAACACAGAACATTGTGTAAAACAGCACACAGTTAACCCTTTGATCGTCCCAGATGTTAACCCCTTTATGCCCAGTGTCATTCGTACAGTGACCGTGCTTTTCATTAGCATTGATCACTGTATTGGTGTCACTGGGAATGTCAGTGACACCAAGTCAGTTCCCCCCAGTGTGAGAATGCCCGCTGCAGTCCCGCTATAAGTCGCTGATCGCCATCATTACTAGTAGAATTTAAAAAAAAAAAAAAAGCACCCAGTATATACACTGCCATTTGTAAACACTATAACTTTCCTGTAAACCAATTCATTTACATGTATTGGTATTTTTTTTTTAACAAAGACATGTAGCAGAATACATTTTGGCCTAAATCTATGAGGAAATTAGATTTTTTTTTTTTTAATTTGTTTTACTGGAATTTTATAGCAAAAAGTAAAAAAAAATTGTTTTTTCCTCAAAATTGTTGGTCCTTTTTTTTTTTTTTTTTTTTTTTTTTTTATAGCACAAAAAATAAAAACTGCACAGGCGATAAAATACTACCAAAAGAAAGCTCTATTCATAGGAAAAAAAGGATGTAAATTTCATTTGGGTGCAGCGTTGCATGACCGTGCAATTGTCAATTAAAGTAACGCAGCGCCTTAACATAAAAATTGGCCTGGTCAGGAAGGGGGCTAAATCCTCTGGAGGGCAAGTGGTTAAAGATTGAAAACTGAAAGTTACTGCAAATTATATTCAGTGTTATTAAAGTGTACTTATGAAACTTTTTTTTCTTTATCATAGCTGCTGTTTGTAAGGCATCAGTTTAAGATTGCTTTCTTCAGTGAACTGAAACAGGATACACAGAATGCCTTGAAGTGAGTACTACATGTTTTATATACAGCATTATAGAGTTATCATGGGATGTGGTGGCGTTAATTTCAGGTGGCTTTTTGGTTGTAAAAAAGATATAAACGACATGCCGATAAATATCTTCAGCATGGTCTTATTGCCTGAGACCCTCCAATAGTGACATTTGCTACACCCAGAGGAGGAAATGGAGAAAGTCACAATCTTCTCATATCTGAATGTAACCCAGACATTATGAAATTTTCAAAGTACATGTATTTGTTCTAGTGTTGTGTTTTTTTTGTAAGCCCCTAGTATTTAGCTTGTTATTGTTTATTACTACAATGCTTCCTGACACCTGCAGCCTATCTACTTTGTCATAGTGTGCTCATCCCAGTGCCTGCTGCCCACCCACCTTACAGAAATCCCATGGTCTTGCCCCCTTATATCAGTATGACATGATGGACATCTTCCAAACTGTCAGCTGCAGCATCAGTATTAGCACCATTGGAGCTGGCAATATGGTTTGCTCATTTAGAAGACATTTCAAGCAATGAAAAATATTTTTAAAAGAAAACATAAATAGAGAATTAATGAGTAGTATAATGTAAATGGCACATGTGAAATGAATTTCTCATATTTATTACTTTCTTTAAATGATGTGTCGTTTTTCGTACGTTAGGAATTACCGGACAGCTTATAACCTGGTACATGAACTGAGGGCTCATGAAACAAACATGCTGGAGATAAAAACTATGGCTGGCTTTATAAACTATAAGGTGAGATAGCACAGTTCGGATTTTAGGTAGTGTTTTATTTAACACTCTATTACTTCTAATTTTTTTTTTTTTTTTTTTTTTTTTTTTTTTTTTTTTTATTGCAGATCTGTCGCCTATGTTTCCAACACAACACTCCTCTAGATGCCATTGCTCAGTTCAGAAAGCACATCGATTTGTGCAAGAAGAAAATAGGCAGTGCTGAGCTGTCCTTTGAGCATGCTGCCTGGATGTCTAAACAGTATGAAAAACTCTACTATGGGGGAAAGGGGGTCAATAAAGCAAAAATACTTTTATGTTGGTATGGCTCCTTTAACATGGCCTGCACCTAATTCATGAAAGTTGTGTTTCAGTACCAATACCAACATGTACATCCGGTTCAGGCACCTCTTACTACAGCAATGACTGGGACAGATGCTAAAAGAATTATTTCCAACTTGCAGTGTCTACCACACTCCTTATCAATTTCCCTGTATATGTCTGTGCGCTAGTTACACTTGTGGGCTGCATCTGCTTAGCATTTTACATTCTTACCTTATCTTTCTGAAAGAAGTATCCATCTTCTATATTGTAGATGAAGTTACTGGTAGACTGTCCATGAACTGGCATAAAGTATGGCCACGCAGCTGTTGTGTACCTTTCTGACAAGCAATTTCTTGTCATGGAGTAGAATTTTTGATTGGTCCTGAGAGGTCACAAGGTTTTGTCATCCGCAGATAATTACGTTGAGATAGCAGAAGGATAAACTAACATATATTGGTATATATCACAATGGGTTACTTTTAAATTCTGGCAGTATTATAAATGGGATTTTTATTTTAGTCCTACATTTATGACTCCCTAAACCGAACATAGCATCAAATTTATCATTTTTGAATGCTTGATAGTAACATGTTTTTGTAACACTTACAAGTATTATGAAATGTAATTATTTAGACAGGTTACCGTGCAATGCCTGTATATAGCTTTCATCACGGTAGTCTAGAAATGAACCAATTCTGTTTCCAAGCCTAGTTTACTCGTGTATTTCTTGCCTCATGCAGTGTGGTCTTGACCACAAAAAACATCTACCATATAGCTCGCCATAAAAAAAAAAAACATTTAATACATTTTGGTTCTGGCTGTTTCTTTAATCATTTTTCCCATTAAAGGTTCCAGGCTTTTGGGGATTTGTTTGATGAAGCTATTAAGTTGGGGTTGACTGCCATTCAGACCCAAAATCCCGGCTTCTACTACCAGCAGGCTGCATATTACGCACAGGAGCGCAAGCATCAAGCAGCTCTTCTATGTAATCACAACGTAAGTTGGTTTCCAGTTGCAGCATAGTGTCAGTCTTTTTTTTAACTCTTATCCTTATCTGCTTTTAAATTTGTTTTCAAACCCATTTGATAATTCATGTGTGTGTATGTACGTTTTTATATATAAGATTTTTTCCTCTTTCTGACCAAATGACAAATTAGAATTTTTAGATTTTTTTTTTTTCAGTACAGATATAGAGTGTGGATCTCCCTAGTTGGGAAAACAAAAAAAAAAAAGATCTTTCCCCACTCTATCCATAATGGAAAAATGAATAACATATTAAAGCCGAACTCTACTCTACCTTTCCTTTAACTTTAAATAGTTAGTTTGGGCCAAGCTGGCCCAAATAAACTATTACATCTAATTATTGCTGTGGCAACTGTCGGTGCTATATAAACTGTACAGTATGTAGCATCAGCATGGAGCACTATATTACAGCAGTGGTAAAGGGACTTCCCATCTACTGTGAGAATGCTGAGCCATTTGCAGGCAGCCTGTGTGTTTTTTTTGTTTTAATCAGTGAATACAAGGCTTCATCTGATTGGCTGAGAGGGAGATTGTGATGTTTTTCACTTGCCTCTCCACCCCAGCTTGACTTGATGCTACATACAGTTTTTACAGCACTGACAGCAACTGCAGCAATTAGTAAAGGAAATAAGTTATTTGGGCCAGCTTTGCCTAAACAAACTACATTTAGAGTGAAAGCAAAGATGGAGGTAGGCTGGCCATAGCTGGGTAGAATTTTGAATGAAAATTCTTAGGAAAAGAATGAGAATAAGAAAGTTAATTCATCAAAAATGTTGGACATCTTAAGTCCCGTGAACCTCTTCATAAATCATCGTACATCTTATAATTAGGCTTATTATGTGAACCCTCTTTAAATTTGTCTGATTAAACTGATAAACATACCACTTTATGTACATTTGTGATATTTCTATTTTTATCTAGCCCTCTGTGGTATATCCTAACCCAGACCCTCTGGAGACACCTAATGGAGCTCTGGATTTCTATGGACAGAGGGCGTGGAGGCAGGGAATACTAAGTAAGTAACTTGTCCATCATTTAATGTTGTGTTAAAGGATAAATTCACCTTTGAAACTTGATACATGCTCCACCTGTTTTTAGGGTGGAACATGAACATATTCCAACATCTGCACCCTACCACCCCCCCCCCCCCCCCCCCCCCGATTTTCCCCCCCTCCCTGTGACAGCAGGTGGGGGATCCTGTCCTCACACCCACTGTCACAATTTTAAAACTGCGTGACCATGTGGGGCTCTGCCCAAACGGCTGTGTCATTAATTCACAGTTTCCTGTCAATGGATAGACTACAAGTACTGTCAGCCATTGCGACTGATGACTTGAAGTTTCCAATGAACTACAAGAACACTAGTGAGCTCTCTGCTTGATCTTCCTGCTCTCAGGTAACTACCTGCCTGTGTATAAGGTACGAACAGACAGCTATCCTGAGAGTCTGCATGAGCCTGAGATTGCACCCATGATTTGCTGATCGTGAGTGCAGTGCTCTGCAGATCCTTAGAGAAAAAAAATAAATGCGCGTTTTGTTTACCAGCAAAAAATGTGCATTTATGTATTTTTCAAAAGTTGAACCTAAAACATGATTGAGTTCCAGGCAGGAATACGTAGAAGAGATCAGTAGTTTTGCATTTCTAGGTTTGACTATGTAATACCTCCATTACCAGGAGGGTCTAACTTTGCCTGTTGTATTTGTAATTCATCTTGGAGGTTTTCTGCTTAAAGCAAAGGGACTGTTGTGCTGGGTCATTGAAGAGCACTTTACTCTAAAGTGGATTCATACTTTCTGTAGTCAGGCTTGCACTTTCTGAATCCTTAATCCAACTCTTCACTCATGTAGTTTCCTCTGCATTATTTTGGCAGCAACTTAATTCCATAATGATGCCAAAAGGAATTGGAAAGACCAGTTTGATACTTTATTTTATACGTTTTAATTATTCAGAAAAAGAATACAAAAATATACGTGGTTTTGGTCTGTGTGTGATTTTGTAGCATTCTGTACTTGCATTGTTACCATGGTGATGCAATTGCCATGTAACTGGATGTAGTTAGATAGTTAAGATCCTTTACATATAGATGACTGATGTTTTTGCTTATTGCCGAGCTATGTATTTTTTACAATTCTGCTGGTCAGCTGTGATTCTTCATTAGCTGCATTTATATTTCTGTCCAACATTGTCACAGCACAATAATGAATCGGTGGGCTTGTATTTGGTGAGGGGCACCTCTCACAGACGCTCTGTGTGCAATCCTGATATTTGATATGCTTATAGTGGCAGTAATGGACAAGGAAAATACTGTTTTCATGGGAGCAGTAAATACAGTGATTTTTCACTGAATAAAAAAATGTGATAGTTTTTACTTCTGGTTGTCCAGTATTAGCTTATGCAGATGAATGACAGGAGAGCTGCACATCCCACTTTCACCCTTCTGCTCAGTACCAGAATAAAAATGGCTGCTATTGAATTGAGTGAGCTGTTAAAACCTTTTAGAACGTTATTGCTGTTTTGTTCCAGAGTAACTGAAAAGGTCATTTGATCACACCAGTTACAGCAGTCTTCCCTATTAGCATAATGCACCTTGTTAATAAACTGATTTTATGTATTATTTACAGGCTTTGATCTCTCTGATCCAGAGAAGGAGAAAGCAGGGATTCTTGCTCTGCAGCTTAAAGAAAGAGATGTCATTCACTCAGTAAGCAGCTTTTTAGTTTTGCCTTCTTCATGCCAATAAATGTATCTTGCATATCATTGTGTATGCATCTGGTGAATGCACATTCTTCAAATATGTTGTGGTAGATGTTGCTCTGAAGAATCAAGCCTTTAGACTAGGGATGCACCGAAATTACGGCCAAAAACACCCCTTTTGGCCGTTGGCCAAAATAAAAAAAAAAAAAGCATCGATACAGGTGCCGAAAAAACCCCACCACTGCTGCCACCGCTCGGTAGTTCTCAGCCTTACCTGAGAAACCATCAATCCCGGCTCTGGGCATAGAGATGAGTGAAGGAAAGATGGCCACCACTCATCTCTATGCCCTTGGAGGACCAGAGCGATGTCACGTCCCGTTCCAGCCATTTTTTTTTTTATTTTTTTTTTTTTAAAGCACTAGATCAATGCTTTTTTTTTTTTTTTTTTTTTTTTTTTTTTTTTTTATCCAAAGCTTTACATTGTAGAGGAGAAGTGTGGGGTCTTATTGACCCCATATCTCTCCATAAAGAGGACCTGTCACTAATTATTTCTATCACAAGGAATGCATGCATTTCTTGTGATAAGAATAAAAGTGATTAAAATTTTTTTTAAAGGGACAGTGCAAAAAAAATAACATAAAAAATTTAAATTAAAAAAAAAAGGTTAAAGTGCCCCTGTTCCCCCCCCCCCCCCCCCCCCCCCCGTGCTCACACGTAGTGGTGAACGCATACATATGCCATGCCCACATATGTAAATGGTGTTCAATCGCCATGAACGTCCGAGCAAGAGCAATAATTCTAGTACTAGACCTCCTCTGTAACTTTACACTGCTAACCTGTAGAAGTTTTTAAAACATCATCCATGGAGATTTTTAAGTACCGCAGTTTCACGCCATTCCATGATTGTGCACAATTTTAAAGCATGACATGTTGGATATCTATTTACTCGCTGTTCCATCCTATTTTATATTTTACAAAAAAATTGGGGTATATATTTTTTTTTTTTGTTTTTTTTTAATCAGTGTATTTTTAAATATATATTCATTTTTAAAAACTGCATTTCGTTTTTCGGCCAAGTGCATTTTGAATTTTCAGTTTTGGCACCAGAATATTCATTTCGGTGCACCACTACTTTAGACTGCAATGCTCAGCCCACAGAGTTTCCCATTTCTTTCTTTTGTTGACTTATTGCTTTGTGTTCTGCTTGTTGTGCTTGTATTTCCTGTATTAGGAGCTCATTATCAGCCTTCTGAGCAGTGCTGTAGCTCAGTTCAAGAAATACAAGTGTCCCCGAATGAAGAGCCACTTAAGTAAGTACTTTTAATTTAATTAATTAGTGAAAAGTGAATTGAGATTTAAAATTGATCATTAAATCAAGCTTTCCGGCTGACAAACAGCAATGTAAGAAACCTCCCATTGTAACCACTCGTTATTCATTTTTTAAAGGCCAAGGTCACCTTTTCCAGAAGATAGCCAATACAGTCAAGAGGCCTCAGTAGATACAAAACTGCAGCTTTTTAAAATGCTCATTAGTTTTATTGTCATACAAGTAGTCCCTTTGAGCTCCTCTCCCCCTCCAGAAGCCTGTCTGGGAAAAACTCCATGTTGGCAATTCCCACATCCTGTTTTTTAATATCCTTCTTTTAACTATTTTCCTGCTGATTTTTTTTCTGTTATTTTAACCAATAATCTGTATTTATCTTTTTTTACCCAAGTTGTTGGTTAACCACTTTCCGTCTGCCCTATAGCAGATTTACTGCTACAGGGAGGATGTTCTGTGCAAAATCACGAATAGAAACGGTATTTAGCACTTCCGCTGTAGGCGGCGCATGTGCGCCACTTCTGTTGTGATTGGAAACAGCAGAAGCTGATCAATAGGTGCTGGCCAATGGATATGCTTCGGCACCCATAGAGGAGAGTGACAGGACACATCTCTAGCTATATAAACAATGCAGAGCTGTGTTCTGTCTGCAGCGATCTGCTAGATTTTCTTTCCCTACAAAGTGGGCAATACAACCTAGCAGATTGCCTAGTGAAAACAGCACTCTGTGTACACAAAACATACCTAGTCACACCGTTAACCCTTTGATTGCCCTAGATGTTTAACCCCTTCCCTGTCAGTGTCATAAATACAGTGATAGTGTATATTTTTAGCACTGATCACTGTATTGGTTTCACTG